CTTGTAGGGCCACCAGGCTGCAGTTTCCTGTGCCAGTTACAACTTCAAATTTCCACTGTTACAATTCTGCTTCTTGCTGCTTACTGTTCCTTGTTGATGGACCGCGTGAGCGGGGGGGCACAAAACGGCCATGTCTACCACGGCCAAAATGTATTGTCTGAATTGTGGGACGGGTAAAAAATTACACCCCTCACGCAGATCGGCTGGGTTAGTGTCCAAAAACACATGGGATTTGCCACATTTCTGGAATTCGGTGGCACCCCTCAAGCAGATCGGCGGGGTCAGGGTCCAAAAACACATGGTGATGCTACATTTCTGAAATTCGGTGGCACACCTCATGCAGATCGGCGGGGTCAGGGTCCAAAACACACGGGATTTGCTACATTTCTGAAATTCGGTGGCACCCCTCACTCAGATCGGCGGGGCCAAGGTCCAAAAACACACGGGAGTTGCCACATTTCTGAAATTCGCTGGCACCTCTAACGCAGATTGGCGGGGTCAGGGTCCAAAAACACATGGGACTTGCCACATGTCTAAAAAAAATCGCTGACACCCCTCACGCAGATCGGCGGGGTCAGGGTCCAAAAACACATGGGATTTGCCACATGTCTAAAAAAATCGCTGGCACCCCATCTCGCAGATCGGCGGGGTCAGGGTCCAAAAACACACGGGATTTGCCACATTTCTGAAATTCAGTGGTACCCCATCAAGCAGATCGGCGGGGTCAGGGTCCAAAAACACATGGGATTTGCCACATGTCTAAAAAAATCGCTGGCACCCCTCACGCAGATCGGCGGGGTCAGGGTCCAAAAACGCAGGGGATTTGCCACCACATTTCTAACATTCGCTGGCACTCCTCTCGCAGATCGGCGGGGTCAAGGTCCAAAAACACACGGGATTTGCCACATGTCTAAAAATTATCGCTGACACCCCTCACGCAGATCGGCGGGGTCAGGGTCCAAAAACGCAGGTGATTTGCCACCACATTTCTAACATTCGCTGGCACCCCTCTCGCAGATCGGCGGGGTCAGGGTCCAAAAACACACGGGATTTGCCACATTTCTGAAATTCGGTGGCACCCTCATGCAGATCGGCGGGGTCAGGGTCCAAAAACGCAGGGGATTCGCCACATTTCTGAAATTCGGCGGCACCCCTCACGCAGATCGGCACGGTCACGACGTCTTACCAATCGCCAAGTGTGGTGACCCCTCTGGTCATCTCTCGGATTTGCTCATTACGAGTCGGCCTCGCATGAAGTTCCGATACTGCTTCACGACAGCGCCCAGGCCTCATGACATAGCTCTTGCATAGCGCATTATCCTTACTATGCTTAGTATTCGTATTCTTCTTACTATTTGTAATAGTAATATGTTGATTCGCATTTGTATTCGTATTATTCGTGTAAATAGTCTTAATAGTAATTAGTCTTATTATTATTCGCAGTAATAGCCTTACTTCGATCATTATGTTAATATTACCAATCTCATTATCATTAGTAATATCATTTATACTATTATTCCGCTTATTATTATTAATGCGAGTACGCTTGGTATTAGTATTGTTCGTATTGTTGTTCTTAGTAGTAGTATAATTCGTATCATTGTTTCTTATTGTTGATACTGTTCTTGATATTCTTAATATTACTAGTGTTAATATGATGTGTCTTATCATTATGTGTATCCTTCTTATTCGAAGTAATATGATTCGTATTATAAATATGCTTGTTATTATTAGTTTTACACTTATTGGTTTTAATAATCGTCAGTTTCTTCGTAGTGTTCGTCTTAAAGGGTATTGGGTAGTATGGTTAGTATTATGGTTATGTGTAGTAGTATTATCCTTGTGTTTAGTAGTAACATTATACTTATGGTCCATAGCATTAGCATTCACATTATTATTGGTAGTATGTTGATAGATTTATGAGTACCGACAGTATTAGTATTACTAGTAGTAGCCGTATCATTCGCATTATGCTTATTAGTCTTAATTATATTCTTGTTATTACTATTATCGTTATGATTGTTATTCATCCTCCTTTTCCTCCTCTTCCTCCCCCTCCTCCTATTCCTCCTCTTCATCCTCTTATTATTTCTTCTCCTTTTCCTCCTCCTCCTCCTCCTCCTCTTCCTCTTCCTCCTCCTTCACTTCGTCCTCGTCGTCCTCCTCCGCCTCTTCCTCCTCCTCCTCCTCTTCCTCCTCCTTCTCCCCCTCGTCCTCCTGGCTGGAAGCGTGGGGGGAGAAGGAGGAGCGATGTAAACCCCAAACGCACCAGCGATGTTGCAACAAAGCCTCCCTCCAAAGCTCTTTGAAAAATTGTCCTGACGACTGACCCAAGCATATGCAGTTGTGGGTACCGCAATTGTGAGTATTTTCTTCGGTGGAGCTCCCTATAGGGCCACGAAGCGCTGCACTGGGTGGGGGGGAACGCATGCGGGCGGTAGAACTGGGGCCGTCGGGCGAACTCCCTATGGGGCCACGAAATGCCGTACTGGGTGGCGTGAAAATGCTAAATTTGGTATGTGGGACGCATGCGGGCGGTACCACTGGTGGCTTCGGTGGAGCTCCCTATGGGGCCACGAAACGTATGAGGGGTGTGCCGCATTTGGTTTCCAGGACGCATGCAGACGGTCCCACTGGGGGCTTCGGTGGAGCTCCCTATGGGGCCACGAAGCGCTGCACTGGGTGGGGGGGAACGCATGCGGGCGGTAGAACTGGGGCCGTCGGGCGAACTCCTTATGGGGCCACGAAACGCCGTAGTGGGTGGGGAGAAAATGCAAAACCTGGTGTGTGGGACGCACGCGGGCGGTCCCCGTGGTGGTTTCGGTGGAGCTCCCTATGGGGCCACGACGTATGAGGGGTGTGCCAAATTTGGTTTCCGGGCCGCATGCGGACGGTCCCACTGGGGACTTCGGCGGAGTTCCCTATGGGGCCACGAAGCGTTGTACTGGGTGGGTGAAAATGCCAGATTGGGTTTCCGAGACGCATGCGGACGGTCCCACTAGGGGCTTCGGTGGGGCTCTCTACGGGGTCACGAATCGCCGTAGTGGGTGGCGTGAAAATGCGATAATTGTGTTCCAGGGACGCATGCGGACAGTCCCACTGGGGGCTTCGGTGGGGCTCTCTATGGCGCCACGAAACGCCGTAGTGGGTGGGGTGAAAAATGCCAAATTGGATTTCCATGACGCACGCGGACAGTCCCAGGGGCTTCGGTGGAGCTCTCTATGGGGCCACGAAGCGCTGTACAGGGGGGGGGACGCATGCAGACGGTAGCACTGGGACCTTCGGTGGGGTTCCCTATGGGGCCACGAAGCGCTGTGCTGGGCGCGGGGGACGCATGCGGACGGTAGCACTGGGACCTTCGGTGGGGGTCCCTATGGGACCACGAAACGCTGTACTGGGTGGGGGGGGCGCATGCGGACGGTAGCACCGGGACCTTCGGTGGGGTTCCCTATGGGGCCACGAAGCGCTGTACTGGGTGGGGGGGACGCATGCGGACGGTAGCACCGGGACCTTCGGTGGGGGTCCCTATGGGGCCACGAAACGCTGTACTGAGTGGGGGGGGCGCATGCGGACGGTAGCACCGGGACCTTCGGTGGGGTTCCCTATGGGGCCACGAAACGCTGTACTGGGTGGGGGTGGGGGGGACGCATGCGGACGGTAGCACTGGGACCTTCGGTGGGGCTCCTTAAGGGGCCACGAAACGCTGCACTGGGTAGGGGGGGACGCATGCGGACGGTAGCACCGGGACCTGCAGTGTGGTTCCCTGTGGGGCCACGAAACGTGTGAGGGGTATGCTGAAACGGGCGATGATGATGATGATGATGATGATGATGATGATGACGAAGATGATGACGATGCTGGTGATGGAGGGGGGAGAAGGGGGGAGGAGAGGAGAGAAGATGAGGAGAACGCGGGGCGACGTCTCTTCAAAACGAAGACCCAACACCACAGGATGGTTGGGGAAAGACCATAACAGGACAACCGTCTGAGAATCTTCGATCGTGCCAAGGCACAGTTGGAGTTCAGCGCCGAGGATTTACGTGACTCTTGCGAACTGACAATCCCAAATCGCGCCAGCGAGCCGTTCTGGAGGAGGAGGAGAAACTGGAATTGCGGGTGCTAGGAGTGAGGAGCAGAAGACACGGCGGCGATGGTACGTGAGAGATACCAAACCGCACACTATTTACCGCCAGTGCCAAACATACCGCGTGCACGCACCAAGCCTGAAAGGCAGCAGGCGCGCACGCGTGCTCCTATACGAACCGAGGCTACCGGTCAATGGAGGGTCTCCCTCAGCAGCACTTCGGCCAAAGAGGACGACCCGCAAAGAGCTGCCAGAGCGTTCACCGCGAGGCCTACGCAGTGAACGCTCGGCACACCTCACCCACGGCTTAGGAGCAGCCATTTGGGTAGAACGTCGTGAAACTGGGGGGGTCCTGTCGGCTCGTCTGTTGCCAACTAGCACACGGAGTGGGCTGGCCATAACCAAGGTCGTGGATCGCAATGGCACCCCGCAGCAAGGAGAGCGCACGGGCAGGCCCCTTACCCCGACGCGGCGTCGATTGGCCGATGTTGCCAGACAGCCAAGAACAGGCGCTGCTCGCGGGGGCCGGCGCAAGCGTGCCCAGCGAGCGATCGAGCCGCAGCACTGATCGCGCCTTCGGGACATACTGGCCCCCTGCGTCTTTGCGTCGCACCTCGCTGGCACAGACGCCCGCCCTCGGCACTCCTTCGCCAGCGTCGAAGGCGCGGCTAATCGCAGCGGCGCCCAAGGCCAGCAATGCAAATGTCCACGTGCATATTCGGAGTTTCACTGGGGCTGTCCTGACGAGCGCGGAACGCGCAGGCACCGTTCATCCTGTGGTTCGTGGCGGTGCGCCGCAGGCCGCTGGACCTCGCCGCTAACGACTGTCGACCAGCGGTCGCCTTAGCCTGGTCGTCGGTCTGGGGGCTGGCGGACTGTCGCCCGCCGGTCAGCAACGCGCAGACTCAAGGATGACGCAATGCGAAATCAGAATGCAGGTCGAGGCGTCGCACAGGCCCTGCTGTTTCATGGAGCGCATCTCGGGCCAAAGGTCCGCGGCGATGATGGGCGGGCGCGCCTCAGAGACATTCTTCAGGCGACCGCGCGCAGTCGGGGCGTCGACGCAGTCGACCGAATGGGTCGACGGGGCCCCGCGGCAAAACAGCGTCGGGCAGCTCCTCGACGCCCAGGCCGACACCCTGGCCCGCGCGGGCACCGCCGCAGCCGCGGCAGGCGCAGAAGGCAACGTTGAACAGCAGCTCGCCGCGGATGAGTTTGCCCTCGCCCAGGCCCCCGCCTCGCCCTCGTCGCCCGCGGGGGCGGCCGCGCCGCGCCCTCGATCTCCGACGCCTGTCGCCGCGTGCTCCGAGCGACCTCGTGACTCTCGGGATACTCGGCCAACGGCCGAACTGGAGACGGGGCCCCGCAACCGCCCCGGCTGTCCGTCAGTCCTGACTTGCCAGGGCCCCATGGCAGCTCTGGGCAGGCGCGGCGCGCCCGCGCGCAGTCGGGCCAAGCGCGGCGCCAGCAGCTGCGGCGGCGCGCGGTTTGGGGCGACGCGCCCCAGCAGCCCGCGGCGCGCACTCGCGCGAACGCAGCTGATTGGACAGTCGACCACTGTCGCGCGACGGAAACGGCGCTGCGGGAGTTCCGCACAGGCGGCGCGCAAAGCGCGCCAGTCTTCGCCCGGGCCACATATCGAAACACATGTCATGAATTACTTGCGGCGCCTAGGGTCGAGCACTGATCAACAGGAGAACGGTCGTTAATCGCCCGATCGGGGCCGAAATCGCTGCCGCCATGCTGCGCGATGGGCCGCAGGTGCCTGAAAGCTGTCTCGAAGCACCAAATCAGGAGGCGGCGTGGCACCACGCACTGGCTCCAAGGGCGATGCCTCCATGGAGGGCGCCGGCGTCGATGGGCCAACTGCCTGCGCCGCCGCGCGCATGAGGCGCGACTGCGTTCGGCCACGCGGCAACGCGAGCGAGCGACCCGTGAAGGAGGGCGTACATGTGCCGAGCGCGGCGGTCGGACCTGCCGCTGCCGCCGCGCGCCGCACGCAGAGTCATGTCCGCCGACGAAAGGTCGCACGTTTGAAAAGATCCAGCCACGTGGCTGGCGTCCAGCACCAGAGAGGCCGGCGCTGCAAGGCTGATTATCGCGGCGGCGCGGAGGCCGCACACGCGCCTGGAGCACTGCACAAGCAAAAGCACCACCAGTCGGAGGCGGCGCCCCAGCGCGTATCAAACAGAGCGCGGGCGCGCCGAGGGAAAAGAAATGCGCGCTCGCGCCTGCGATGCAGCAAGCTCCGGGGCGCATCACGCGGTAACTCTGCACGTTGATCAGGCCTGTGACGCGGGGCGGCAGCACCGCAGCGCCGCCGCACTCGAGCCCTCACGTCGTCGACGAACTCGCGCCGGCGGGTTCGAACTAGGCTGGGCCTGCCGGAGCGCCTGGACACGATCGCCCACGCGTCCACCGTGTCGTTCTCGTCGTCGGCGCTGGAGCAGACGTCGTTGGTGACCTCGCGGGGCGACTGCGTGCTCTGACGCGCTACGGGGCCACTGCCAGTCGCTGCGGCCGCGCGCGCCTGCACTGGGCGCCTGCCACGGCCAGCTTGCAGGCGGTTGCCGCGGAGGGAACGCACAACCTGAAACACGCGAGCACGCTCCGTCGCGATCGTCTGCGCGGCGGCCCTCGCGCGATGCGACGACGTCAACGCGGCCGACGCGCCCATTTGCATGGCAGCTATTGGCGCGGGCGCCGCCCACGGCGCAGCGCGGGCATAAGTCGCGAGCCTAGGGCCGCGGGCGCACGCGCGCACGCATCGCTTGGGCGATGCCACGGAGTTGGCGCGCGCACTCGCGAGCTGGCAAGATCACGTCGCAGTGCTCCTCGGAGTGCTGTCACACGTTCAGTTTCGCCAAGTACTGTTGGAACCTGCACGTCACATGCGTCGCAGGTGGGAGTCCGTGCCCGCGCCGCTGTCCAAGTCCACGAATCCCGCCACTTCACTGTCGCATGCGCAATGCGAGCTCTAATGCCCCATGAGACTGGCACTCCGCTCTGCGTGGTTCATGAGCCAGGCGCCGCATACAAATGCGGGCGGCCGCAGCGCACCGCGCGCGGGAATGGCAGCAAGTCGCGCCGAGCACGGCGGATTGCAACTAAGCGTGGCCGGCCCCTTGCATTTCGATCGAACCGTAACGTAGTGCGACCGCTTACGTGTTCGGCGCAAGCATACCCACGCTTCCACTGCACGCGCCGGCGCGCATCCGCCAAGCGAACCCACTGCAGCGCACCGAGCATGGCTGCGTCGTCACATCGGCGCGGCAAGCCTGTGCGACAAAAAATTCGAAGTCGGAACTGACTTGCACACTGCAGCTCTGCCACCTGCCAGTTGGGCACTGGACGGCGCGCGAGCGAGGGGGCCTAGGAACCCAGGCGACGGATCGCCTTCGCTGGGCCTCAGCGGCGATGTCCACGCAATCGGAAGTCCCCCCACAAGTGTCGGGTCCGACGCCGTCTTTCGCGCGAGGACTCGGAAGCGGAAGGAGTTGCATGGATGTTGCTGCAGCTCGGGCTGGCTGCATCCACCTGAACAAGTGCAAGCTGGATGTCAGAGCACCTTGCGACGCTCTGGTCGGTTCCTTGGATTGGCACTGCACTTCACGGCATGAACCTGGATCGACTGTCAGCGGGCGTCACGTGCCCGTTCAGGGCATTAGTCGAGGCCCGTCGCGCTGTCATCGCGGCGCTCTCGAACACCGACGTGGACGGAAAGAACACGTAGAGGAAGTCGAACTTCGCCCTACCCACTGACCTTGCAAACGCTGCCTGGCGGAGGTCGAAGAGCACAGGCCCGTCGTAGAGATCCGCGACTCTGAACGGCCGAGCGGCGTGGACAACGCCAGGCAAGCTGGCGGCCTGGTGACTGGATAGTTGCCCGAGTAGGACCTGAAAGAGAATCCTGCTGGACCGTCGCCGCGCCTGCTCAAGCCCCTGTGGTGGAGTAGCCACAGGTGGTAGCTCAAGCAGGGCGCGTGGGATAGCTGCGCTGGGTGACAGCACAGGCCCCGTCGCCGCGGCTGGCAGCGGCTCCCAGGCAGGGCCTGCCAGGGACCTGCGCCGCCCAACGGCGCGGTCGCTGGCGGCGGCTCCCACGCAGGGCGCGCCGGGAGCCCGCGCCAGACGACGGCGCAGCTCCGGTCGCGGCGCAGCCGCCAGGCAGGACGCGCCAGAAGCCCGGCATGCACCGCGGACCCGCTGGCATGACTCACGCAGGCCACGAGAGATTCAGTGCCGGCGCGAAAAGCTCAGCGCGGACAGCAAACCGTTAACACCCAGGTGCACGCGCGCACGCAGGGCCAAAGTGCACGCAGCGACTTCGTCGAAGACATCTGGCTAGCACGGCGGTGAGAGGCGGTCGCAATACATGAGCGGGCAACCTTCGGGCTCCACATCAGCATCTGTACCTCTATGCCGTACGTAACCGCGCCCAGATGCGAGCCGCTGCAAGTATCCTAACTTTGCCCTGGCCACGATCTTGACCATTTGTAGATGGTCAACGATGCGTCGCTGCTCCAACTGACCTGACTGGAACGAGTAGGCATATCCCATCACGGCCGAAAGCACGCACGGACGCGGCCGGCCCTTCCAGCGCTTCACAGAACAGCCCTTGCAAGCGCGCGACGCTCATCCGACGGGCGGGAAGGGGGCCAAGCATGCCCAGCGACAACCACCACAACGCACACCTTGCGCACTGTCCGCTGACTGGCGGCCGCGCTGTGCGAGATGATCCGCGCCCCACGACATATGCGTGAGTCTCGTGGAAAGGCGAGCCGCGGCCACCCCGGCGGTTCCTTGCTTCGTTTGCCCCGTAGACTCAGCACTGGGTCTACTTACTGGCGCGGGCGAGAGAGCTGTTGCGCTGAGCAGACATGGGCAATGATCCGACACTCCCCCTTCTTTCTTGGAACCAGTCAGACGCGGAAGCACGTTCACATTCGCATCGACGACGCGGGCGTCTATCTGGGCGCTGAACTCGCTGCGACGCGCGGCCCTCTTGTCTCCTGCCCGAGGGGGTGGAAGGGCGGGGGGAAGGTTTTGCGGCGACACCCACCGGCGAGGACACCGCTGCGTCAGCGCGCGCGCCCACGGCAGACGCGCCCCGCCCTCCTGCAACCGCAAGGCTGCGCGGATCGCAAGACGGCGGCGCGCGCGCGACACCAGCGGCGCACCAGTCGCGGCACCGCTAAAGGTGGCACACAGGGTGGAGCAGCGCGCGGTGCGACGTGCCATTGACTGCACCGCCGCACGTGCGCGAGAGCCCCCACGGCGGTTTGCGGCCACTGCACTTGCCAGACGCACGCGCGCAGGCGGTCCTGCCGGACGGCCCAGTCGGCTGCGACTCGCTGGCGATGGCGACGATAACGGCGATGGCGATGATGAAGAATGTTGATGATGAGGATGACGATGACGATCACGATGATGACGACTGCATCGGCTTGGACCTTACCGTTGAAGGCGAGCACGGGCTGCGGGTTGGCTGGGCTGACGTGGCCCTGCCCAAGCTGTGGTCGAAGCGTGGTGCATATGGTCATAGGGGGCGCGAGGAAGGCGCTGTTGCTGCTTTTCTGATGGCAGTCGATCTCACGATTGTCGACGTAGTAAACGTGGGCGCGGAAACACAGTGGCGGCGCTGGCACTGCCCAGATGGCGGCCTGACCCAAGGACTCGAGCATCCCGTCAGCAAAGCGCATCTGGCCTCGCGGGCCACGGCTACGCGCACATGCTGTCGTTGGCCAGAACGCACTCTGAGCCGCTGCGCGCGCCACCCGGCGCGCTGCGCCCGACTGTGGCCGCACTGACAACAGCGGATGATAGTTCCCGCGCGCAGCAGTAAGCGCGCTGCACATCACCAGAGGTCAGAGCAGCGGCGCCAGCGCCTCTCTTGCTCGGAGGCTGCAATCGGAGATTGCGGCCGCCCACGGGCGCTGGTTGCAAACAGCAGGCACCCGGCCGGCAGCCGCCTCTGCGGGAAGCACAAGGGAGGGGGCAATGTTTGAGGGGCGCGAGAAGCGAGAAGGGAAAGGCCGAGCAAAAGCAGAATTGAAAGCATCTGTGCGAGCCGCGCGGCGGCGCCGCCTCGCTCTTCCTCCACGGGCTGCCCCCCTCCGCAGCATCCACCTCGCTTCCGTCTCCTCGTCCTGACTGTTCTCCTCGCCCTCTGCCTTGCGTCGCGCCCCTCGCCCTCGCGCCTGCTGCGCCCTCTGCGCCCTCTGTCCTGCGACCCCCTCGCCCTCCAGCTGGCCCAGCGACGCCGGGTGCCCCGCGGCGCCTGGCGCGGTGGAAGAGGAGACAACATGGACAGCAGGCCGCAGGATACGCGCCCGCGCAATTCACGATTTGCGGCGCACAGCTGCGGGCGCAGGAGCGCCAGCGCGCACGCCCGCCCCGCTCAGAGAACGCCGCGC